CCTACTATATATATATATATATATATATATATATATATATATATATAGCATATAAATATACTTATATCACTTGATCATCATCGTAATTAATGCGTAACATAGGATTTATTTCCGTTCTCCATTTTTCGTGGCTCTGACGGAACTTTCGACCAATCCCACGGCTCACGATACCATTTCCATGACGTTTCGAGGAACCACGTAAAAATTCGAAACGCACCGTTCTCGCGCATGTACCGAGCAACAAAAACGGCCGCGCGTAACACCGTGGGAATGACTAATACATCCGCCGAGGGTGTATCCGAGATATCGAGTTGCCGCTCGATAAAATGCAAAACTCGCGGTACACAGTCGCGGGAGTAAAAATCGCGCGGATATATCGCCTCACACGGCGGAGGTAAAATATACGAGATAGCGTATCCGCTGGTATCCGCGCCGTCACGTGCGTTAGGCGATATTTGTCGCACGTGACCGAGAAACCGCATCCGCCGCCGATATCTTCGCACGAGGCGAGGTCTCTTTTTCCGGCGACGGACACATAACGAGAGGATCTATATGCGCGGAAGGAGCGGCACATTTTCGCCGTCCTCCTCTCGCCCCCCCTCATTATTCATGAAGAGGGTGATGCAAAATATATGTTATTTAATGTTTTTTTTTTTTTTTTTTTTTTTTTTTCTACGCTGACCGTTTCGCATAGGACGTATGGGAAAACTGCGCACCGTGCACCGTGCACCGTTTTATTTACCACTGTGTAATTTTTGCATTTGCAAATATGGCTGTTTAAAGAGGGAAACGCAATGAGAAATACTGCGGGCGGACACACAACGTGCGGCGTGAAATATTTTTAATTAACCGAGAGGTATAATAAAAAATGATTAGTGTTTAGCGCGACTTTTTAATTGCTGTAAATTGAAGCCGCTTAAGTAGGCAAAATTCTGTAATCTCGTCTTTTAACGCAAATGCCTCAGATTCTACGGCGGAAAGCCTCAGGGTGGCTAATTTTTTTTTTTCCCTTTTCCGTTATTTTGTACGCTTCGCCTAAGTTCACGCCAACGTGAAATCCGCAAGCTCATTCAAAAGCAACGCGAAATCCTCTTGAACAGATCTGAGATCTGAGTGAAAAAAGAGAGAGAAAGTGGGAGGGAGTAGTGGCGGGAAACGTTTCCACGGGAAAAGTTTCCGTTCTCCGCGGAAACTTTCTCGATCGAGCTCGACGCGTGAGCATTTGTTTTCCCGTGGTGAGCTTTCGCGAGCTTTCGGCAGGAAAGTCACTCGAGGGCGAACAGCCACGGGCATCGTAACGCGCTACTTTAAGCCATCGCGACACCCATCCCTCGCTTACCCTCGTTCTCCACTTTCCTCCCCCTTTAGTCACCGCGGCCCCACGCTGGATTAAAGTATCGGCGACGCCAACCGCGTCTGAATAATTCAAGACGAAAGTTCTGGTCGTTCGATCCCATGAGAGGAGTCCCGCCAGGACGATCGGAGGGAGGTCTGATCGAGCTATATTTTTTGTGTTGCAGGTTTCGCGCTGATGAGAATCGTCGAGGTGTACAAGGAAATTCAGGAGCAGGAGATGAACATCGTAAGTGGAATAGAAAAAGAATTTAATTTTTAAGACGAAATATTTTCATTCACGGCTCGTATCTTCTTCCATCCTATAAACTTTTTTTAATATTGAACTGTGTTTAATATTTAATATTCAAATATTTATATTAGAAAGCGTGTACAAGAGGAAAAATCTAATCCCTGTCTAAATTCTATTTTGATATTATAATACTCGATTGAGAGTTTAATTTTAATAGTTATTAATAACAATCATAATTGTTATAGTGAATTTAAAATAAAGTTTAGCTAATATTTCTATTTTATATTTCTTCAACAGATACGAATCTTCTTAAGAAGATTTTTTTATTACGATCGAATAATATTCCGAGACATTTCGCAGGGTAGCTAAAAGCAGGCGTATTGTCTGCCTCTCCCCTTTTTTCCGTCTGTCTTCCACCCTGGCACCGTCCATTTCCGGGGATTACGTCAGACGGTCGCGTCTGCCAGGATTCGTAAAGATGTCTTTTACGCCATCGTCTGTCGTGCCAAGCCTATGTAGTGGAAATTCACATCTCTTTATTTATTAACTATCACTAACTCAATGAACAAAGACGTTTTTTTCATCGTGTTTTCACTATTGGAATAATCTCGAGGATAATAATTAATAAATAATAACTTGCAATATTTAAGTAATCATTAAATTAATTGCAAATATTTAATCGCTTGAAAAGAAAATGTTATCTGGGGATGTTATCACTTTCTATTTATTCCCATCCTTTTGAGAACTTGAGAAAGCACCTTCCAACTCACATCTTTCTCTCTCTTCTCATCTCTTCTCTCTCTTCTCGCCGATCCCACAACGCCCTATAGAGCGGTTTTACGAAACGCGGAAGTCCGCAGGAGCCTCTTTGATCCTGCGGCTCGCCTCTGCTTGGCTCGAGGGCAACATTACATCCCGCGGGCGTTTCGTTTGAACATGAAATCTCATTGCGACCATAACGACATGTGGTTATTACGACTTTACAACTCTCTCTTCTCTCCCGCTTTCTCTTACACGATGCCATTTTACAATTTTGTTCTAGTCGACTTCTCTGCGAAAATGTCTCTCCAGTGACCTAACCCAATGTAATCCACAACCAAGCGCTAAGAACATTCCCTTTCTGTTACAATAATTAAGTAACGTTAACTTTGGCGCAGCTTTTTCCACTAAAACACACCGAAAACTTAGTTTTCTTTTCGTGCGCACGATATGTTTGCACGGGAAACTGCAACTACCGCGCAAAACGTTAAAAGCAAAGGGACGTTACAGACACTCTTAATTTTTTTAAATTAAAGAACTCGGCAGTAGCATAAACAACGCGAATTAAAATTTCATTAAAATAACGTTTTCTTGGCGAATTAAATGAAGAATAAACTTTATATATATATATATATGTAAATGTCTTAATTAAATTCGGGAAGATTTTTATTCTCACTCATTTGTTTATAAACAAGAGAACTAGAACTACACGCATAGTATTATACGAAGCGAATAATGAAATAGTTGATTTATGTTTGGGGCTGCTCCGAGCAGTGTTTTGAGGGTCAGTGACTTCTGACCCTCCGGGAAGTTTTGAAGAAACAAACAGTCGCGTACGCGTGCTGCGTCACGATTCGGCGATGAAAATGCACTCCAGACGAAGATTATCTTGAGCGCGATCGGAAGAAACGAGCGGAGGAAGTGCCACGAGGAAAGAAAAGAACGAGTGCCAAGTCCAATGGGATGGAGAACGACTGCGTGGGGAAGAAATTCACGTAACTTGCATTACTTTGCAGCTTTTTGGCGAACGTTTATCTTCACGATAACTTTAATCGATAACTTCGGAGATTTCCGCTAAGGAATGTTTCTATGGAAATCATTGATTCGCGATCGTGCCACAATGGTTCCTCACTTTATAAACAATTTAATTAATTTGAAAATTTTAATTTTAATTGTTTTTATTTTCTGGAAACTTAATTTTTTTACGGTAAATATTTTTAGGTTATTTTTAAGTTAATTTGTTTAATACAGCATACCTTGACCCTATTTTATTTTTATAACAATAAAAAATAAATTAGTTCAACTTTGTTGTAGTTTCTCTATATTTTAAGATTAGTGCGATCAGATATAGAAAATATGAGATAAGTTATTCTTTCTAAAAAGTTTACAGTATTTTGTTTCCTTGTAACAATACTGTTGTTTTTTGACACAGAAACTGCCGTTTTTGCGGCTATTTCCGGTAAAATTCGGTTCTCTGATCTAGCCTAGTGACGCGACCGGAAGCGGGTGTAATTCTCGGTGGACGAGGCGGCGGTGTGGCGAGACATGGGGGAGACGAGACGAGGAAAGGGCGAAACTGGAGTGCGCGATAAAAGACGCTCGTTCGCTTGCTCGCTCGCTCACTTGCTCGCCCCAACGCGGACTAAACATGGCGGCGGTCGCTCACAATCAGATCTAAAGAGCGCAGAATTTCCCAATAAAAATCGCCGGCGTTCCCTAAAAGCTCGCGGATTAAATTCACGGTGCGTAGAGATTCGCGTGTTCAACGAGGGCGGGGAAGAGCGGGTGAATAAAAAAAAAAGCGGATAAAAAAAGACGGATTCCCCCCTTTCCCTTCCTCTTGCCGCGCACCGCCGCCATAGCAACCGGGCAGCTGCAATCCGCCTGCCTTTGAGCGACGTATAAAAAGCGAGGCGAAGGGTGCTCGAACTGCAAAACAAACAACTTGTTCGTGAAATGCGAGCTTGTGGGGAGCGAGGATAGTGAGGGCGGCCGGTTGCGAGAAGAGGAGAGGGATAGGGTGGCTCTCGAAGAAATACCGACGTACGGCAGGCCGACTCAGGGAAAGAGGAAGTTCGAAGGGGTTAATACGCTGGTGGATCGAAGTGCCTGGTAAACATGGAGGCATATCATTAACGCTTTTCCCCGGAAAATCATGCCCCGCGGACGAGTTTTGGGCGCGTGTTTGATCGGATGGCGAATGGTGGAGATGGAGGAAAGTGATTTAATTGCGGCGAGGGGAGTGGCCCTAAGATGTGGCCCTCGGAGGAGCTCGGACAATTCAATTCCCGGTCGCGAGTCACATTTTCGAATCGAAATTTCCAAGATCTGGTCTCGGCGGTCGAACAAACCGGTCAAGCGAAAATCGAAACGTCCGGGTTTGCCAAACTTCGCAAGATCTTGAGAAGAATCTCGCCACCGAGCTTCGACTGACTCGTCTGGAGGGACTCGATTTCCTATTTATTCGCACGTCTTACTTCCCCCTTTTTCAGTATGTTGGCGTGAAATTGCGTCTATTGTTGCGGAACGCTTCTTCTAATTGCGCCCGTAACGCCGCTTGTCATTTATTCAAGTTTTAATTCGGACTTCCACAACTCGCATCATATTATTATTCCATTGTTATGCCGGTATATTACTGCGTTACACTCTTTTTCCATTACGCGAAATTTCACGCGCGTTCCTCCTACTATTCTTCCTTACTGCGTCTTCTCGAGATGCTAATAAAAAGGAATAAAGAGCGCCCTTCGTCGTCGTCGTCGTTGCCGCCACGTTTCCCGTCGGAATGCATCCAACCAAGGACTACTCCTGCGAGTATAAATTAGGTCTGGCGCGGGAGAGAGACTCGTAAACCGCCTAAAGTTCACACAGAGCGAACCCGAGACGGCGAGGAAATAAAGAAACATCGCTCTCTCTCTCTCTCTCTCAACACCAGTCGCGGAGGATGCAAAAGTTTCACGTTAGTCTCCTCATCCCTTGCTTTTAAATGTCGGAAGTATGTCCGACTCTCTCTTAATTATGTTTATTGCCCAGCAGTGTATGTTTATTTCCCACTTAAAAAGATTACTTTATTATATCCGTATTAATTTATAAGCGCTCCTACCTCCCATCTCGCCGCAAACCACTCAAATTCGCGTTAATTTTCCAAATGGATGGTTATTTTTGAAACGATGAGAAACGTGCGATAAATTAAGAAATTACTTCCTGGCAAAATGTTATTTGTGTTAACATTGCGTAAAAATAATATTATTTATCGTATAAAACTCGTATAATTAGATAATAATTAGAAGTTATTAGAATATGTTAATGATTGCAAAAGGAGGTAAATATTCGCGCGTAATAACAACTTTTTTGTCTCCTTTTTTCCGTTCTAGTTAAAGGCGTTCTACGTAGATCTGCTGGTGCCTCTGGAGACCAACCTGGAGAAGGACACGAAAGTCGTCCAGGTAAGTAAACCACCGAAAATGTGGTCCCCGGAAGGGACATTAATTGTCCCCGCGTTCCGGTTTCTGGCGATGATGAATAATGCAACGCGCTGGGAACGGGCTTTCAGAGCGAGCAAAAGAAGTTTCTTCAGCAGCACAAGACCAGATCCGAGACCTATAGCAAGGCGGCCGCGACCATGAAGAAACATAGAAAGAAGTCCAGGGCGGCCAACAAAAGCGGCCTCGCCATGGACAAGGAGCTGAAGAACATGCAGATCCTCGAAGAGGAAAAGTCCAAGCTCGACGCTTTTTGCGAGCAGAGCTTGAAGAACGTGAGTTACGAAATCTGCAAAACTAACGATTTTTGGGTTACTCGGTCTTCACGCTACTGAAAGACACCTTTCAAAATGATTACATAAGTATAGTATATAATGCGAGATCTTTTTTTGTGGCGGATGAATAACGAAAATTATATCGGGATTATGGCGGTGATGATGGATTACGCGATGAGATTCATTAACGGAGCGAGTTCATTAACACCCTCGGCGCCCTTTGTGCGTTCTTTTCACAGGCGATGACTCAGGAGAGACGGCGATACGGTTTCGTGCTGGAGCGACAATGCTCCTTGGCGAAGCACTATGCGAGTTTTCATGAGGTTGCACTGGCCGCGCTTCATCCCTCGGTTGATAAATGGCGCGAGGTTGCCGCCACCAGGGAATACTTGCCCCAATCGGTGGAGGACATGTTCGCTTCCAGACTCAGGGTAAACTCGCGTGACGTAGTTCGTCGGTCGCACAAATCTCTCAGTTTTCGCATGTTCACACATGATTCCGATCGATCTGAGAACACAATGAAGATTTATTCTCGCGGTTCGGTGTTTAATCGTGTCACTCAACACACAGAATGTAATATATTATTCTTGCTTCCTTCCGCATGAATTCCGCAAACGACTTAAAAAAATATCACGCGTCTTTTTAAAATTTCAGAGAGAAATTTTAAAAAAGCGTTCTTTGTACCGAAAATCCGAATTTTTTGAAAAAATTAAAAAGTTAAAAGACTTTATTCAGACTTTTTACAGAAATTAAAAACTTTTGAATTTTAACAACAATAATATATCACAATTAATTCGAAAAAGAATAATCATTCGAGAAGATAAAGGGGTAAAGAAAAAAATTTAACGCGTGTATGCGATAGCAGTCACTCTGAAGTTAACAAATCATAATATGGTGAAAGATATTTATTACGTTGTCGAAGCGTGATATAAAATGGCAACTCTATGTTTTCGTTAGCAAACATCGTTTTGGCCAGAGGACGACGAGAATGGCGGCTCCGAGCTGACGACGATGAGCTCGCAATTGCGGAAGACCCGGAGCATGGACAGCTCTTGCCTGGAGCTACGACTGGGCCCCCTACCCGGAAACCCGCCGTCGTCCAGCCACCTCGGTCCAGCATCCCATCTCCCTGCCACCCTCTCCAGAGCGAGGTCGGAGGCCAACTTGCACGCCTCGACATTATCCCTCGGCCCTGGTACGTTGTCCTGCAGCTCCTTCTTTTTTTCTCTGCGACAATGATATCGATTTTACGCGGTATGCTGTGCGTTCGAAAATTCGCCGCTCCCCTGTTAAACGTCCCTTACATTCGAGGAATAAAATTAGCAGAATTCTCAACTAAACTAATTTATATCAAACTATGCCGAATTAAACTGAATTGAACTAAACTGAACCGCATATCCTGATCGAATAATCCAATAATTGTACCTGGAACAATTAAGCTGTTACATTGTTACTATATATTATTATGCGTATACTCTTTTAGACGATTGGTTTAATCAACATAATTAGTGTGGTACGATATTATTAAATATAAATCAGATTTAATTTTAGATTACGTTGAATAATTTTCCTGTTTCGTAATTAATATATTGTACGAACATGATGGTAAATTAAAGGACTCATTTAATAATGAAGGACTCATTTGAATGACCGGAATGATTTATCTTTGGATTTATCTTTTGCTCGTTCGTTGCCTCGCGTTCTGCCATACAACAACAACAACGACAACTGGGCTGTCAACTGGTCAGAGACAATCGAGAAAAATCGGCGAAATGGAGCCATTCGCGCTGACGTTTCCACTCGCTTTTCGCGAGACCTGTCGTGCCGGTCGTATAAATTTCAGCCGCGATCAGATTCGGGCGACTCGTGTCGAAATCCGAGGCTCTCGCCGTTTCCGGAATCGGGTCTCGCGCGCAATAAAAACGGAATATGCTTTTCGTTTGTGCAATACGACCCGAGACCGTATTTCATCGTCGCGGTGTCGCGTGTCACGCTGGTCCATCACACTCTCGTCATTATACGCCCCCGCCTTTACACCGAAGAATCTCCCGATTCTTTCGCCTTCCTCGATATTACGCCACGTTATATTTGCCTGTCACGTAAAGCAAAATAAACGGTTTCAAAATCGGAAAAGCGTGAATGCAAATAAATTCAAAGAACGCAACGCACAAACGCAATATAAATATTCCCGTTGTGCGTTTGCGCGTAGGGAGTCGCAATGTGTGTGTCGCAATAGTGAATTAAACCCTTAATTAATCTCGCTATGCCTCTACGAACGATTCAACAGACGAAAATCAACGTCGTTGCTACGCGTTTAGTTACCAGTGTATGTACATTCCCGCGTTGAATTAATTTGCCACGAATGGCCGCGCATTAATAATGCATCGCTGATATTTCTGAACAATTCTCGCAAATCCCGTCTCTTCCTCTTATCCTCGATGTCCCTACGGGGGTGATGCCCATTCGCCTTCCGACATCCACTCCGACCGCCGTTATCCGCCGTACGCTGACCTAATTGCCCTGGTTCACCCCGAAACTACCCCCGTATTATCCCGGGCTCATCCTCATCCCCCGCCGTCCTTCGTCTCTACGCCGTTTACAGGCTCGGTCAGTTACAGCGTTTCTGGTTTCCAGAGGTTCCAGAGACCCCACCCCGGCCTCGTTCCATGGCGCCCCCGATGTCCCGCAGCAGCGGCGGCGGTACCGGAGTCGGCGCCGGGGGTTGGGGGGACGCTCCCCTCGCCAGGGCTCTCTTCGCCTATCTCAGCTCGGGAGAGAATCAGCTGAGCTTTCTAGAGGGTGATCTCATCGCGCTGATGGGTAAGTTTGATCTCGGAACATCCGACGTACCCATGTCCCAGAACTCAGTAGAGTTTAAGATCACATCTGTTACGTAACGAACAGAGTATGGGACACGGGATTCAACGACCGCGAGAGCGCCTTAAACCTGTTTTTTCATTCTTCCGAGTTATCAAAGGAATTCTCGTGAATTAATCGGAATTTTTACGTCACTTAACTTAATAATAACATTGATGAGATTGTCTATTCCGATTAATATTTAGTATTCAATTATTAATTTGTAGAATAATTAATGAAATTTTAATTAATTGTAATTTCGGACTAATATTTTACCGTTCCGGTTGTTAAGATATTTAGATAATGAAATGAAGATAAATTAGTTTATTACCTTTTTCCTCGAATTTTTTTTAATGTTTACGATTAAAAAGAGCCTCCATTGCAAAAATGTTAATGAAGCCGGGACGAAAGCAAGTTTCGCAAATTTGCATATTTCCCGTTCTTTTTTGTCAGGAGACCGTCAGAAGGGATGGCAATTTGGCGAAAATCTACGTACTCAAAGCTCGGGATGGTTTCCCTTGGCGTATACTGAAATTATAATCGACGACACTTTGGGGTAAGTAAACCTTCCCGACCTCGAGTATGGCAATGCGGAAATTTCGCACTTATGGTCGCTCGTTATTAACCCTTCAAACTCCAAACATTTCGCGCTGGAATCCCCGCATGCATTCAGAGTAGTAAATCAGCAAAAATTTTCATGTGAAATTTAATACGCACACAGGATTATCAGATATTACATCGAGTGTCTCTCATTATTGATCTCTGCATTATTTTCCATTAAATACCGATTTACATTTGATTAATTTTTTATCGGCAGCTTTATCATTATCATCCGCTTTTTATCTGCATTGTAATGCAATTCTTGAAAAAACTTTGCTAAAACTTAATCATCTACTTTTCATTTTTTTCACAAAATCGTTTACAACAAGATAAATTTGACAGATTTGATGTAGCGTTGCGAACTTAAATGTATCGTTTTACGCTCTGTCGAATTTTTCCGAAAAATTTTTCTCGGTTCAATTGCACGAGTCTCCCACGAGTTTCTGCTAGTACATTGCGTTGTTCAATTATGCGAAGATCGCCGAGTCACGGAGCGAGCAACGGTAGGACTCCGGAGCCACAAGCTGTACCACCGTGTAAGCCGCCGCCCTCTCGACCACCGGTCACGCCGGCCAATATCGACGAACCATCCGGAGGCACCGCCGGCGCTGGCAACAATTCCGCCAGCACCAATGCCAACAATAACAACAACAACGGCGGCGGCGGCGGCGGCGGCGGCGGCGGCAGCAACATCGGCACGCCGATCAACAACGCGAGCGTCTTGGCGACTCCGACCGCACGCCAATCGAAATCGGTGAGACAGTAAAATCGATGCAACAGCGAAACGCTTCCGAAACGGTTATTTGTCGTTTGTATTATTTAGTCCATCTACTGCCTCGATCTACTGCCGAATACAGTGCTATCTCTTGCGTCAAATAAATCCTTTCCGAACGCTTCGTCGCGTGGCGATAATCGCGAAAAATTAATGCTATTCCGTTTCTCTTCGACGATTTTCGCCGATATTGTTTTCTCAATGGCGCTAGTCTGCATAAATTCCGAATAAACTCCACTCCGTGAAATACGTTCACGTCGCAGCCCCAAGATTGATTGGAAAGAATGCGGAGTGTGGGTGAGAGACGGAGGGAAGGAGGGAAACGTTTCGTCTGCCTTTCAGATCCGTCCATCGGGTACGCTTCCCGCGGTGCTAGCCAGCGGGCGAAGGGTGCAGCCGCCCGTGCCCCCGGTGCCACCCCCTGCAATGACGTCCCTTCACAGCAGCAACGACAGCGGCTTCTCCAATGAGCCCCCGGTGCAGCCCGACGTCGATTACAGCGACGACTAAGCGTTGAGGTGAGTCCAAAATCTGCGCCCCAGGCTGCAAAGTCATCTCCGTTCTTGGTTCATGTAACGTGTAATTAGTTACACTTCTCTATATACTTCACGTAGAGCTGCAAGCTACGTAAATTATATTAGGGAGAAACGAATTTTCGCCTTTACGTATGTAGTTCTACTATTAATTTCGCTTGAAAAAAACGAATATATTTGGACCGATTCACCCAAAGTGTAATGTAACTGCGGAAGTAAATTGGAAGATTAATTGGCTTTCACGTTCGCGTAATGAAAAGACTTTTCCTTTCTCGGTGGACTTTTCCTTTCTCGTAACTCGCGGCCAAGAAGGATTTACGTAGCTTACGCGCGGTCTACATCAGGGAAGCCGATAAAATTTCGCTGAATCACTTGATTTACTCGTGACACGTGAACGTAGTAATTGGCACGTAGTAATTGGCACCTCCTTCCATCGCGTGTTCGCGTAACATCGGATTTGATTTCCAGCATAATTGTATCGGTTTCAATCTTTAGTTTACATGTAGACTACCATTATTCACCCGCAGACCCGATACCAGGCAAATCACTTATTGCTTGGTACTTTGGGCCCTTTGATATCTTCGCTCCCCGAACATCACGCCCTGATAACTAGCCGATAAGCGCACTTCCCGCTTTGCCGTATTCAGCGCGATTGAAGCTTTGTATCATTGCAGCCCCGCTGTTCTGCCTCTCTACTGCCTCTCCCTGTAATTAGTGCGATTTTCACTTCTCTTTCGCCGTTTCTCCTCCCACCCTCTCGGCACTCAATTGAATTGGTTTGCGACGCTATTGCGAGGAATAAAAATTCGACGGTGGTGGATGCTGTAGTAGTCGTACACGCGTTTTACATTCACTGGGCTCCGGTCGGGAAAAAACCTTAACGAATTTCAGATAAAACGAGATCGAACCGATAGAATCGTTAAATTTCGATCTTGAATAGAGTATCTTATCTTACTTGTTCATTGCTGGGCGCATGATAGCGGTATGACATTAATTGAAGTAGGTCGAATTGCATTTAAGTATACATCTATTGGCTTGTATGATTGTCAAGTCATCTTTTAGAAAATTTTTTAGTGAACACTTTATAAAATTTGCGATAGCAGAGTGACATTGATCGATGACAGATCTTGTTTCTTAAGTTGGATTCAAATATCGAAAATACACGATATTATTGTTTTACTCTTCTTTTTTATCAATTTACGAACTAGTATGATGCATATGTTTGCACATGACTGTTTTTATATATTTGTCATACAATTTCAATATGTTTATTGATTTTAATTATTGCACGGACACCAAGTAATTCATTTTCTCATGTCACATTCACCATTATATACAATTCTGTTATATTTTGTTCATTTGTCGTTTAAGAAGAAAAAAGATTGAGATTATTATCTAGATATCTAATTTACTTTAATAATTTATTTGCGAAAGCAACTTTAAAAGAATTATTGGATTTATGAATGGAATTTTTTTTTCGGCCTCTCATCTTCCTCTCGAATTATTAGTTATCTCTGTTTCTTCGAAGTTGTGTCTCTCTCCTTCTTGTAGATACCGCATGCGTTATCGTGGTCGCTGGAAAAACCGCCATGGTGGTGGTCCATATCTCCAATAGCTTCCCTTTCTTTTAATCCTTCTCTTCCGCGCCCCGGTTTCTTTTTCTCTTTTTTTATTGATCGCGCCGCGCACGCAGGCGGCGCCGGAAGCCGCGCAGCGGAGGAGATCGTCCTTCACCGAAGGACGAGAAGCAGTCAAAGGATTGGGAGAATGATTCCTGGAAAACAATCCCGCGGGATGAGAAGTCTTGGCAGCTGTATCGCACGGCGATGGACCTCTGGGCGGAGTCCAAGGCCAACCAAATGGGCGAGGATTCGAAGAAATACTTTGAAATGGAGAACGGCGACTTTACATTGGAAAATGGCGATATAACAAAGAAGAGGAAGAACAAGAAGGCCACATCGAACGAACGTCCCAGTCCGAATCAGCGTACTAAGATGACGGACGAGCGGGGTGCTCCGACTGCTACTCGTCGCGGCGATCAGCGACGCGTCGACAAGCGAACGCAGGCGGAGACCGAGGAAGACGAGCTCGAAGAGGACGAAGAGGATTTCGGCACCGAGTACCGTAGCAATAATAAATTCTACGCGAACAATCAGGAAGCTCAACAGGAGCGGAGAGGAGGAGGAGGAGGAGGAGGAGGCAGTTTCGAAGCGGAAAAATACGCCAAGTCCACAAGTTCGTCGTCAGAGTCCGACGACGAGAGCACCATCACCGTGCCGGAGCCGGGCCGTAAAGTCGAGCACATCGCGCAGAAACTCGAGCAGACCGCGCAGAAGTACGCGCGCGAGCACAGCCCGCCCAAGTTCCTCGAGCGTCGCGAGAGATCCGCCGCGACGGAGTACAAGAGCCTCGAGAGAGAGACGCGCGATGCGGCCTTCTCGCGGGACCGTCGCGAGAGAGCCGCTATGGAGTACAAAAGCCTGGAGCGCGGTCGAGACGGCGGTCAGAAGAACCTGGAGCAGACGAGGCGCGACGACAAAGCGCGCTTACGAGACGAGAAGCGCGCACGGGACGATAAGCACTCGCTCGAGCGTGCCTCCCGCGAGGACAAGATGAACTTTGAGCGCGCGAGAGAGGACAAGCAGAGCTTCGAGCGCTCGAGGGAGGAGAAGCAAAACTTGGAGCGCACGAGGGAGGACAAAGAACGGGGCCATGAACGTTCGAGGGAGGAGAAGCAGGGCTTTGATCGCCCGAGAGAGGACAAACAGCGGCCCCGCGAAGACCCGCAATCCTCGTACGAGCGGGCCCGCGCTCGAAACGAGCAGCAGGAGCGCGCGTATATGGAACAGCGGAAGGAGGTGACGGGAGGTTACGAGCGAACGTTCGAGAAGAATCGCAACAGAACGGTCGAACGATTGTCCAGTCGGCGATTCGAGCGGCCGCGGCCACCGTCGCAAGAGGCTCCGGAACGGCCCCCGATGGGGCCCTACCGTGAGCGTAGATACTCCGACAAGGAGGAGGCGATTTACGGAGAAACCAGCCGATACGGAATAGGCTCGCTGGAAAGAGATCGCGGTTACGAATCGAACTTCGAGACGAAATTGGAGAGAACAAAGGCGATAGAGAGACACGGTTACCACGCGGGCTTGCATGATCCGGGTCTTCAGAAGCGCAACGCCGTACCGAGAATCAATGAGCGAAGTAACGGCGACACTAACAACAACACGTTGAAAGTGGAACGGAAACCTCTACTGCCGCGACAGGCAACTGCTATGGGTCACCTCGCGCAAACCGGAAGAGCCTTCGATGAATCGAAGAGCCCGAAGCTCGTGAAACGGACCAAGTCTTTCTGGAAATTCCGCCGGGACTCGGAAGTGCTGGAGGGTATGGCACTTTGGCAACATCGCTCGCTCGTAGACATCCCGAAAATGATCCGGAAGGAAGACAAGACGGCGGAGAACGAGGAGAGACAGAGAAACTCCGAAGGCGGTAGCCCGAATTCGAGTTTGGGCAGTGAGGGTACTATCACGAACGAGCACCGACACGATGAACCCAAGCCGGCTGAAAGAAGCCACGTACCCGACAAGACCGATTACTTTGACGATTTCCCGACACCAGCGGAACGGTCTAAGATCACGGAAAGATCCGAGTATAGGATGCAGCAACAGCCAGAAGAGCGTACGTATTTCGTCGGCAATGTGTCGCGAAAGGCGATTATCGAGAAAGAACGAAGACGTAGTCTCGAGGCCAAGCGGAATATGATTGTGGCCGAACTGAAGGAGAACAACGAGAGCAAGCGAAACGAAATGATGGTGCGAGGTAGAAGAAATTACGACGAGGAAGACGCGACGTTGAACTTCAGTGAGACCGAGGCCTCCGATGAGGAATCGACCTATAGTTGCATCGTCGTGAAAGATCAGAGTATACCGGAAAAAACGTTGCTACCGAGGACCAAGCTGAGAAGGGAGTCTGATCGGAATAACTGCGGGCCCTGGTATGATCTCTGGGGCGTAGACGCGTCCGTTAATAAGAAGAAGAAGAAACAAAAACAACAATAAGTAAAGCAGCAGAAGAAAATTTAGCCGAGGCTAAATGTATGTGGAGGTTATAAAGGATGATAAAGAGAGCAATGATGAAAAAATATCGAACAAAAAAAAGTGAAATATAAAAAAAACGAAAAAAGAAAGATTGGATATTTTCGTTAGCGAGAAGAAGACATTACGTTAGCGAGAAGAAGACATTACGATAGTCGACGATTACGTTGCCATGCTTTTTGAAAACGATGAAGAAGATAGGAGAATAGAGGAGGTTTCCATTGCATACAATTTTGATTTTTCTTTAGTTTAGATGTATGATATTATGCGAGCAAGGAGTACTTAATTCAAACTTAGGTCAATGAATGAACATCGAGCTCGCAGTTGTTACCATTTTTGTTATTAGTTTCACCCGAACTCTCTTTCTTCTCCCGGTCATGTGAATTTATTCTGAATTTCTTTGTGACCACCTGTTCACGAGTAAGCCTCTGAATGATCAACCCCCATTATGATGTGTTCGCATTGGTTAATTCCCTTTCTAATGCTTTGTCTTGTCTTCAACGATTGGCTGTTGATGTTGTAGGAGCTTGCAGCATCGTCGAAGAAAACGCTCGATACACTTTTGCGACGACTTCTAGGCGACTTATCGCTTCGAAACGGAACGAGAAACTTTGCTGGATGATACATCATCATCGATTGTGACTTGTATGATTTGTATTGTTGTGTCCGTCATCGCTGCGCGTGTTAGCCTTCCTTTAATTATCGCTAGCATAGTGCAAGTCATTCTAGATATTATTCGCTAGATATTATTTGCAACTATTTCAAATTCTTGCTATTTTTTTATTTTTATCGGTCGCTTTGATTTTATGCAAATTTGAAGTTGCTATTTTCTATATACAAATATAGAATTTAAGAAAGTTGTGTTACCATGGTACAACTATCAAAACATAAATTGTGAAAGACGATGGCCGGATTAATTTTGATCGGTACTTTCCATATTTTTTTGTGTTGGCTCATAAATTTTGAGGAATCTAAATCGTGGAAAGATTAATCAGTTTTATTCGTCCTATAAAAATATTAAAAGATATTTAAAAGATATTTTATTTAAACAATTGGATACGATATTGGATTAGATATCAATGAGAAATCTTTATTGTGTGTTTTCGAGGAAGAAAGGCATCCCTCTTAAAATTTTCAAGAGTTTACCGGAATCCCAAAGTTGTTTGTGATCGTCCAGATTCGCATTCCCCGAACACTGATTAATTGCAATTAACGCCTTTCAGGACTAATATATTTGCGACAGTGAAGCTGCGAAAGACGAAGACTAACGACCGCTCGGCGCCAGCATTGTCATGAGACAAGTTCTTTCTCTAGATCGGGCGTTTCCGCGCGCTAATAGCGATCTCATGACCCGGAGACGGACATGTCTCTCTTGTTGAACAAGTTCCTTCGTCGCGCAACTTTCCACGCGAGACGAGAATCAACTGCCACGCGATTATTATCTATCCGCGAAAAAAAATTCTTCCCAAGATGAAAATATGGCGGTAACCCTTTCTGTATCCGCGCGCCGTGCACACATCGCACTTTTGCGCTTTTTCTACAATTTCTCTCGAGTACCGATTCATTTGGGACACGTGGAGCGTACGTACGGAGATAGCTTGCAGGTTCTTATGGCGTTAAATGAAGCGGTGAAGCGCAATTTCATAGCGGTAAACTCTATGTTATAAAATAAAGAATATCACGATATATCAATGCAGTTTTACAGGTGTTAAATAAAAAGGAATAGCTACTTTGACTGCGTTCCTCCAATGTTAACGGCTTAACCGCAGATTAACGTAGTTTTATAGCGTGAAAAACTTGTGTAGTGAAAGTGGATCAAGTCCATTATTTGTATAGTTTTCACGTAAAGTTGAACGTGAAGTAGATCTTACGAATTACGGACTTGCTTCATTCTCGCCTTGAAGTCTGTTAATGGCAGAAACTAGAGTTCTTCCGATAACACGTTAAAAGTTAAAGACGAAATGAAAGGAGATTGTTGGTATTTCTACATTTATCACCGCTCTATCGATGTACTGTATTTAACATTTTACTCTTAATATATACTGAATATTCGGTACTGAAAGGGTTAATGTCTGAGAATTGATGAATTTCGATTTTTGTGTGCAACACGTCATTTTGAACACGCGTTTTTCAACACGCAACGTTTCTCAATACGCATTTTAAGATACGCATAGATATAGAGATTTAGACTAAAATAATATATCCCAGCGTAATTTAAGCGCGAACGAAAAGAAGACGTCCAATTTGGAGCGGAGGGTGTAGGGTGGGTTTTAGGATAATCACTCTTTTTGTAATTTAAAACGCGGTAGATAAGAATTCAAGGAAGTCGCAAAGAAAAAAAAGATGTTAATATATTATGAATAATATATTATAATTATAAACATTATATATACAAAATGATCGCTTTGGGCGATTCCGGCGATTTGGGTTAGGCTAGATTAAAATGAAACTGTTGTAATAAGAATCATGTATACAAGCGTATATACGTTATATATATTATATATATTATTGTTATTATATATATCATTTTTTTAACGTGCATTTCTTGATCTTTTTTGTTCTCTAAACTCTCTCTCTGCCCCTCCCCCCCCCTCCTCTCTCTCTCTCTCTTTTTTATATTCATTTTCTACTTTGTGCTTTTTATACATTATATGTATTACATAATATACATATTGATACAAATTTGAAACTTTCTGTACATGTCAATGTCATAATTTTAATAATTTTTAAAATCTTTATTTGATCTCACAGGTAAAATCAAGGTGTATTGCAAATGAGATTGAAATGATTTTTAACAATTCGACATTTTCTATGTACTTTTTACTCTAATATAAATTCCCATTCTATCGGCAAGACTCCGTAATCCCGGAATTAAGTCACTCCCATAGTTCTTCGTAGGAATATTTTAGGAGGAAATCCCGCGATCCGTCAGAAGATTAGTCCTCGGCGACTTTTCAGCGAGGAGGTCCGCATTTGAATATCCACCCATCCTTCACAGGTAAGTGTTCTCCGCTCATAACGGCGGCGCATTTATTTAAATTAATCGCGGAGCATTTAATGGTCGCGATCAACGAATTTGCGGAAGAAGAGATCGGGTCGGTCTGGACGGGAGCCACGTCGTCGTTTTCTCGCCGTTTCGTTTCTTTTTTCTTCTTTCGCGGCCCCTTTTTAATCGTTTAAAGCGTCTGAAAGTTGTATAGGCGCCATTATGCGGTAATTATTGGAAAATCGAAGGTGTCGGCCTTACACGGGAATTAACAACCGTAAAATGCGTTGTATATACGTATCAGTTGCGTTTTTATTATCTAACTTTGTTCGAGCAGATTTTCCTGTTCTCGCTTTATAAGAAAGAAAATACATGAAAGTAAACTTGCTTACAAAATATCTAAGTTTGAATAATTTTCAGAAAATGAGATTCTTTTTTTATATTTTTCTAATTCTTATTGCTTTTTTTAACTTTTTTTCTTATTTATTTATTCGAAATGATTAGTAAAAATAATAGCAAGGAAGTATATGCGTGCTCATGCATAAATATTATGTTAATTTCATTAGCTGTTGTAATTAATATTAGCTTAAACATTTTCCTGATTTTTTTATTACTAAAATAAAATTTAAATAATGTTAACGCAAATAATGTCCTCTTGATGTGACTGTCGCTGGCGGACGTTAAACATCGGCAATATGGCGGATCACGCGTCTCCTGCGGCATGTATTAAACCCGTCATGATTTCGAGTCAATATAACGTGCGCGTGTATATGTGCGCGCGCCTGTTCGTGTATTTGCTTTACTTTGAACCGCCAGATTCCACGGGCGGCTTTTTGGCTTATGGAATGCGCCAAAGCCGAGCATATTTGCTAAGCGGTTAATTATCATCTGTGGTTGCCCACTCTCTCAAATCCCTCCATGAGCTAGCCTGCAGGACGAACGCGCTATCTGGCTGAAAGAAAGATTAACAGGGAATAATTTAATGAATTAACATTACTTTGTCATTTGTATACTTTTCTATATCTCTTTTTCCGAGATTATTATTATAATTAAAATAAAAATTAATAGATAAATATGTAGATATAATTATATTTTTTAATAAGGATATAAATATATAAATTTCCTTTTGAGAGAGGATGAGTGTTTCGACTAATCAAAAGGAGATATATCGGTAATGCCACTAATTAAAGAAATAACAATAAACAATATCTAATATACAATATATTTATCATTATATTTATTAACTTATTTACAAATCTCAATTATCTTTCATTTTTTCGTACTTCTACTTTCTTCATTAATTTTTTACTCAAATTTCAAGCTTTTTTTTTCTAAAACGAGTACTTGGGTGCCGTGCCGCACCAATCTTGAAGAAATACTAAAATATCATTCAGTGGCGAATCCGAGAGCGCTTGTCTGGCCGTGTTAATCAATTTGGTCCAGTCATCGCGATCAGCTACTCGATTAGTTTCCTCAAATCTGATAACCGGGCCGCGCACCGGATATCCCGTGATCACGCATTGCTGAAGAGGCATGCCCGGATTTGTTGGTGACGTCAAGGAACCGACGTAAACGCCTCTCTGATCAACTGGTAAACCTTGCTCGATCTTTTGATCCATAGATACCGCCAGTATCCACTCTCTTGCCTCTTCGCGTTGATCTGTCGCGACGCCAACTTTTTCTGGAAGTGGTACTTCCAACGGAAAATCGGTGACACGGAGGTCGTCTACGTCTAGAACATTGCCATCGCCTTCCTCCTCAATACACTCCTCTAGATCAAGAAAATGATTGAGGAAGACGAAAGCTTCGCTCAGAAGACCGGCGGAACGGGCAGCGACGCCGGCTTCGTAGTAATATCTGTCGGCGTAAAGAATATCGGTGTGTCGCAAGAGACTGACTGACGCTTTGACAACAATGCCAGAAAGCGTTGGAAACGAAAGACAGCCGTGCTTTACCGCCGAGAGGTGAGCGACCTCCAGAAGCCGCTCGAATCTATCGGAGGACGGTGATGAACGGCAAAGGCCGTGTAAAACGTCACGAAGTTGCGCTAAATATCTGGAATTAATTGACAGAGAATAACAAATAAAGAAACGTAAAAGATAAAAGTTAAGAAGATAAAGAATACGACAATCTTCTTACATAAGAAGTAAAAAAGATCTTTAGGAAATTAGGAAATAAATACTATACGAGATATTTTAATTTTAATAAAAAAAAATAGTCTAAATATAGAAATATTTTGTTTAATAAAATATTTTTGATTAGCAAAGATGTTCAAATGATGGAAGTTTAAATAGAAGCAAATGACGCGTTGTACCTGTATTCCTGTTGCGGTGCGTTTAGAATGTTCTCTGCTAATTGCAGATATAGATTAAAGTTCTGCGAGATCGCGGGTGCGCCATATTGGGCGTAAAGTTGCAGCGCCTGCGGCGCGGCGTCACTCTTTAGCAACTGTGCGGCACGTCGTGCCACATATCTGTGCAGCACCTCCGGACTTTGCGCACTTGCAGCATCGAACACCTGATTCCATTGGCCTTTGCGCGCCATCACCTCGAGGGCAGCGTTACCATCCATTTCCGCCAATCGTTCAATTTCGCCTTCGTTTGCCATGGCATCCCGATATTTCTCTTCCAGATACGGCTCGAGGTCGGGAGCGAGCTCGCGTACGATTCGTCGCGCGCGATCCCACTCACCGACCGCCATCAGCGAACTCACCGCATCTTTTAATCGATCTGCCTGAAGAAACACCTAGAACAATATGAAGTATCATGAAATTCTATTTTAATTTCCGTTTTCCGCATTTTTGGGGTTCAATCCAGATATAAATGATAAATGTATCGAATAAATTGTAATTTTACAAGGATCCTTGCTTAGATCTTAGAGCGCAATTAAATGAAAAAATTAGTGAAAATAGAAAAACTACCTGAGCTGCGAGTGCATGTTCACCAACAGAAAATAAACGTGCACCCAGATCACCGCCGATTTCCGCTGCCGTTTCTGGATCCGCCTGATGCAAGAGAATGTCAGCCGCACGGATAAGATATGATCTCGGAGCTTGAGGATTCAGGATCAAAGTATCCAGAGCAGGTCTTACTTCTCCGAGATCAAGCCATTTTCGAGCTTCCTCCAACGCATTCGCTCCGTCCAATCCCGCGCTTCTTTGACCTAACTCTCTACGCAATGCTGCCTCCTGACTGGGCAAATATTCTCGACACACTCGCAATGCTTCAGACCACATTCCAGCTGTCTGAAATAAAGAAATACAATTGAAACAAATAAATATTTAGATAATAATTTTTAATACATTTTCGTATATAAATATTACGTAAAATAAAGCTTTGAAAAAGAATTTTTATATGTACAAAAATGCTAAAGAAAGACCAACCTTGTAATGCTCTATTATCATCTCTGGCTTGTGTGCTCTCAGAAGAAGAGCCTCTGCCGTAGCGTAATCTTGTGCCTCGGCGGCTTCGGCGGCTCGGGCGATCAAGACCTGTGCCACTGCTTCCTGGCTGTGCGATCGTGCGACGTCCTCGGCAGATTCCCAATCACGGCTATGAATATACATCTGTACTGCTTCCATGGTCTTACCAGCCTGCACGAATTCCTTCTCGGCCTCTGCGAAACGACCCTCGTCCTCGAGCGCCATCGCATAACGATAGTGAACTTCTTTCTTTTGATCCATTGTGCCATATTTGGCAATCTCTAAAGCCCAGTCAAATAAACTAGCTTCGCATGCCAATTGCAGACACGGTTCCAAGTAGCCGAGTCGCATCAAAAGTCTGGCGCCCAGTTCCGGAGCCAACGTTCGGGCCCACATCAAAGCAACCTAAAAGAAAAGAAGACTTAAGCTCAGGAAACTAAGAATAAGAAAATTAATGTTTTCCAAGGTATATAAGTTTTATAACCTGTTGTGCCGCTTTTTCTCCCGAAGCCTTCTTAGCGACTCTCAATGCATCCTCCCACATGTTTGCAGATCTGTAAGCTGTAACCGCTCCACGCCAATCACCAGCACCTAAAATAGAACACAATTTATTCAAATTTATTTGTTGAGGAAAAAAGAGGTTATTTTTTAATTAAAAACCATGATTGATTTAAATTCAAAATTGACCTAGGAAGTGTTCCTCGGCTTCTCTTGGTTTGCCAGCTGCGTCTAACTCCCTGGCTAGATGCATGTGAGTAGTTTGAAGTAGATCTGGCCGGTGTTGCGCAACCAATCTGATCATGTCGCTACGATTTCCCGCTTTGCGATACATAGCGATTGCTGCGTCGTGATCACCGATCGCAACATATAAAGACTCGGCATGACGAAGTTCGCCAATCTGCTGCAGGCTCTCGGCGTGTTTTGCTAATACTTGATTGGCCTCGTCACCCTTCATGTATTCTTGGGCCACCTGATGTGCACGCATCCAGTCGCCTGATTGTATATGAATCTCCACGGCGCGTTGGGCGTTTTCAGCCCTAATGAAAAGGCTCTCCGCCAGACTTCGTTCACCGATCGACGAGAAATATTCCCCTAATTTTTCGCATTGTTGACGAATCTCTGGATCATCGTCCTCAATCACCTAAAGAAGAAGAAAAAGAATATAAAAATGAAGAAAAAGAATATAAAAATAATAACAAAGAAATGAAATTAAATAAATAAGATAAAAGAAATGCAATTCATGTTAATAATGCAACTGAATCGCACCTGAATAATTTGTAAAGCCTTTCTCCATTGTCGTGCGTTAATGGCGGCCTTGAGCGCTAATATTGTCTCGCCTGCCTCGATGAAATGATTAATAGCGGCATCATAATGACCATTCGCTGACAGATGTTTTCCCCAATCCCTCTCGAGTTCGACCACCAATGTGGGATCGACTTTACGTGCTAAATCGAGGGCTCTAGCAAAGACTCCGGCCTGAGCATAACAAGTGATTGCTTCAGAATCGGCTCCAGTTTTCTCCAGCAGTTCTCCAGCGAGTTCCATGAGATCAGTTGCTTTAAGGCCACTGATGACCTCCTCGACGATTCTTTCGTCCTCTAGCAATTCATTATCGGCGAGTACTAGCCTGGCAGCTCGTCCAGGTCGGCGAGCCTCCAAATAAAGCTTGACAGCTCTCTTTGGATTCGTATTTTCTATAATAGAAGCTGCGCGGGCCGCTTGGCCACTGTCCAATAGCCAAGCTAAATGACGGTCCCGCAGCTCTGACAGACCACTCCAGTTGCGATTCTGAGCCAAATTTAGAGCATCCTCCCAGTGCCAATAGCGCTGGTACATGTCTAGCGCTTTATCCAATTCATTCTGTTCCAGATAAATCGCCTCAGCGGTTTTTAAATCACCATTTAGTATGGCCAGTCGGGCCCAGCAGTCCGAATCGCCCAGTGGGTCGTTGCCTGTCTCCTTAGTATACTTCTCTCCTATCTTAAAGCACGATAGAAAAGAAATGTAAAAATATATTACTATATCTCGAAAGGAATAGAGATATTATGGAAAATAGAAAAAGACCTCAGCAATCTCTTTCAAAAACCTCGCGCAAGCCACGTCACCCATTGCAGCGTAACATCTCGCAGCTATCATGATCTTCCTCTCGTTCATCGCGTTTCTGGCCACATTTTCCCACATGGTCTCCACTTGTGGACCGTCGCCCATATTCTCAAGAAACAGAACAACTCTGCCGAAATCATTGTCATGCAGCGCGGTGCCAAATTCGATCAGTCCCTCGTCCAATGTATATCCCACCTTGACGCCATGCTCTTCTACTATCACAGATGTCTGACCATCCTCTCGCACAATGTCAATCACATCACCCTTGATTGGCGTTAATGTTGCCGCTTCTGGCGCGTCTATGTTGTACCAAACGGCCAAGGTTTGGCTTGTCTGAGCAACGACAACATCGCTACCAGTTATCCAGGACGCGAAAGATGCTCCTGTCACCAACAAGACTCTGTGATTTCGTAAAACAAAGAATAATTAGAACATAAAGGTCTGTTACACTTGTTTTATAAATTCCCCAAAATAATAAAAGATAGATTGATTTAAAAAAAGATTAATTCTTTTACGTTTTATTTTAGATAAAATTATTATGCCTAGTAAACAAGTTGGCCACTTGGAGGCTACTCTTAATAACTATTATTTCAAAATTGAGATCTTTCTGTAACTTCCTCTTTAATTCCACTTTCAGTTTTACTTAACAAATAATAAGAAAGGTTTTTGTCTTAAATCAATACTTGTAATTGTTTCACGTAGCTACCTATCACCCGTGTCATCACTCAGCCAAAGACGACCTCGCTTGTCGCGCGACAACAGACGGTGACCCGCCTCGCTCAGCTCTAACCAATCGATTCGAGCGTCGTGGACGATCATGCTGATAGTTGCGCCGGTTAGCAGGTCGACTACGCGAATGGTTCGCGGATCCAGTAGGTAGGCCAATTTCTTGTTGTCGCCCCCGCCAGCTGAGGGTCGTTCGTTCACGCGTACGCTGACCACGTGCGGATTTACTGCTTCTGTTCGTACGGAACCGAGCGCCTCGTTCTGTCCATATTCGACGATCGTCAACTCGCCGGAGCAAAAGATCAAGCATACAACCGGATATTCGAAGAAAAACTTTTCACTGCCAGACCGATCCTCCCATGGGATCTCACTGATCAGACCCAGCTCGATGTCGCCGATCAGCAGGGTGCGCGCCGTCCGAGCCACCACATTATTGTCTCTGCGTCCTAGAACGCGCACGTCTTCAATCTCCAAACCCGTTTGCGATCTGATGACAATAGGACGCTGCGAGGAGTCGCTCAAAGGCCGGATCACTACTTGGCTAGGACCTACATATGCAACTTCGTGACTTCCACGGACCACTGTGCGTCTGAAAGTTGAGCAAGTTCATATATATCCAGAGCAGCTCGACAATAAATAAATAGTTCTGTATTCTTCAATAGACAATTATTTTATGAAATTAAAGAAAAATTCATCCGCTGATCATATAGCTATATCAAGATAATTTTGATTCTTATGTAACAATTCTCAGAAGCAAGAAAGAAAGCACGAAAGGACCAAATTTGATTGAAAATTCAGGAAGTATTAAAAGACTTTAATACTTCGGTCTCAAATTCCAGTTACCTCAAAATAGTCTCAAACTGTTCGACACCGCCGCAAAGACTGCCGATCACCAATTTTGAACCGTCTCGTCTCCAAGCTAACGCCGTGACGGTATAGAAATTGGGCAAGTCGCGTACGTTGCTTTCCTCCCAGATACCTCTTCGTGGCGTCCAATCGAAGATGCGCATCTTATCCCAGGAACCTACAGCCACGCTTTGGCCACTCGGGCTGCAGCAGGCTACCGTGATCTCCCTCTCTTGGGAATCCCGGCTGAAGTCGAAGATCTTGACTGGTTTGCCATACGAGTCGTACAGAGTCAATCGTTTGTCGCAACCTGCTGCCAGGATATGTGACTGTGGCCACGCCAGGGCATAAGCAGGCACGCCGTGGACGCACACGCGTCCTGATGGCTCCGCGCTACCGTCCTCGGTGATGTAATACCGAATAATGCTGCCATCGGCGTGGCTCGACAGAAAGCCATTTCCACGGACGCTGCAAGTCGAGAGAGCTCATTTTGCAAATATCAAATAGACTATTATTACTGATTGATATATATATATATATATAACCGAAATCTCAAAACATCATAGTTCATCAGTATTAGTTTTACTTGCTAGCCAGAGCTATCGTCATAGTATCAGAGGTATACAAGGTTTGAGCCTTTTGCGACTTGACCAAAGCCGCGCGGACTTTTCCATCCATCAATCCTATGACGATTGGACCGTCTCCTGGCCAGATCAAACAAGTCACTGCAGCACTCTGTCGGAACTTGTTGCAAATCACTTTTTTATCGCCCCTGGAAAATAATTCTTATTTGTTAATAAATAATTTATTTTGACTAATTATTTTTTATTTTTTTAAAAATTGTATATTAATAACTACCAGTCTTCTCCTATTTTATACACGTATACAATGCAATCGGTCTGACCAACTGCAATCTTCGTGGACTCTGGGGAGAAGGCTATTCCCTTCACCATGTAACTTTTCTTGCCGAACTGTAGAAAAATATTTTTTTGTTATTGTATAATACATCAATTTTAAACTCTAAATTATAGAAGAAAATATCAGTGAACTAAATGAATATGATTTCGGCAAATAAAATCTACCTTGGGATCGACGGGCTTAGTGGAAAATCTGTCACGCTTTACTCCATTCTCATCAAAAAGGTAAATAGAACGATCCGAAGATGCCACAGCTAGCTTTAAATTATTCGGCGACCATGCTATGCTAACCACTCTATTTTCCAATTCCTAGTATGCAGAAAAATATACATATGAAAATAGTCCATTCTTGTATTATGTGTTTTGTTAAATATATTTATTTAGATTTGCATTTATATTTGTATTTATATACATTTATATAGATGTATATGTTTATATACAAACATAAATTATAAATTGCTTTTTCACAAACTGTTATGAATAGAGGCAATATTTACATGCTATTGTATATTTAAATAAATTATTTTGTAGTCTGTGTAACGCTTAAATTTCTTTCTTGAAAAAGAAAATTTGTCTTTATTTCTAATAATTCTTGAATATTATACGTCGGTCCGTTCAGCAGATACGTAAATATTCTCTCTAGAATCGAGACTTAAAAATCAATTTAAAATAATAACATTCCACTCACTTGTGCTGGCATAACAGTACCGAGATATTTGAGCAGCATATTGATTCAATTATGATATTTACTTTTTTTTATGACTATTGTTTTCAGCTATTCTGATATTATTTACAGGTGTACAGTACTGAGATGAAAGCAGGTACATGACATTCATGTATATACGTTGGTTGCCTAGCGACATAACTCCCACCGCATTGACTTCATGCAAAAAATAGATAAGTAGAGTCAGTACATGTTAGTATATACAGTTAGTATACGTATAATTAAATAATTAAAAAAAGGCAAATGTTTATTCGCAAAGAACAAATCTTATGCATTTAACTTAAGACTGTCGAACGGATAGGCAAACGCAAAAAAATATATAAATGTTGTTTTTTTTTACAATATTTATAATATTTATAAATATTATTATAATATTTATAATATCTATAAATATAATAAATATCTACATTCAGTCGATTCGAAAAACAGTTGTTTGAGGATAATAAGTACAAGTGCATCTTTTCTTCAGAAAATAGCTCAAAACAATGTTATTTTTGTCCAGTAGTATTTAATAATAAATATCTATAATATATTTAGATGTGTGGCTGAAGATAATTATTTTCATTCTGATGAGTATGCGTATGTGTGTAATTATATTAATTTCTTCAAAAATTTAATTCTAAAACAACTTTGGTTCTTCCATAATATTTGACAATGTCTATAACAAAAATTTATAATAAATTTAATTGTGACATTCTTATATGCCAAAGATGATTGTTTGTCAGCTGACGAGTGAAATTGTATATATTTCTTTAAAAATATACTACCTTTTTAGTGGAGGTTCACTTAATTTTGAAATTGAATTATCCTTTACGACCGATAGACAGCGCTCGTTGCGTCATTCACGTTGCTTTACATAGCAAAAGTTAAAGTTGCACGTGTGGACATTTGTATCTTTTCGTATTTATTATTTAGGATAGTATCTCCTCATGCACAGATTGACTCTGCGGATCCTCAGGCGGTATATATAAATCGTTTCAATGTCATTTAATGCATGTCATCTCATATTTTTCACAATTCTTAGGTTAACGAAGAATAACCTTTAAATTTAACTCGTTATATAAAAAAGAATTGATATTTTATATAAATATATGTTATATGAATAACATAAAGCGAAATAAGAGTTATGAATACACATAATCATAATAATATAAATTAATATAAATAGAATATAATAGAATATCTATTGTATGTTTTTTTTGATATTTTGCAACATACAAGGTTGATATTAATTTTTAATAATTTTTAATAGTTTTAATACTATTTCGTGATATTTTATACAAAATAATGTTTTGTACATCTTTGCACAACTATAATAATATAGTAATATATAAATGTGATATAATTTTGTATTACAATAATTAAAAGAATAATAATTAATTGCATATTTTTTATTGGCTTGATGATTTATTTATTTAATTATATTTTTCTTAGGTTTTATGAACCAAAGTTGCTGAGTATTTCTACAAAAGTGAAGCCTAATATAGATTTACTATTTATTAGACATAAAGCACAAATAGCAATGTTAGACGATGAAAAGTTTAGAAATTTGGATATTCTTATACAAGAGGAAATTAATTCGCTGTCTTGGTTGTATACTGTAGCCCCTGCTTTTCCAGTGAATGGTTCAAAAGTAAGATAAATAACATATATAATACAATTTTATATACACATACACACATACATATACACTTTTACATACATATATTGTAACAAACATATTTTTTTCTAATAGATCACTATAATCGATAAACCACAAGCATTCTACACTACTCTGTTAGAAAAATGCAAACATGCCAAAAAGAGAATCACATTTGCTTCACTCTATCTAGGTACTGGTACCTTGGAGACTGAATTGGTGAGTCTAATAGACAGATGTAAAATTTATAATACAAATTTGAGATAATTATTTCAAATAAAAAATAAACAGCTATATAAAGAAAAATATGGAGATAGAGAATTAAGGAATAAAAGATTATTAGATTAATTTGTGTTTTCAAAACAATTTTTTCCAAGAATAAAAGTATTTTTTATATAGGTGAATGTGATAAAGCAAGCAATGGATACGAATGGTGACAACATACAAGTGCGAATCTTACTTGATTACATGAGGGGTTCCCGAGGCAAACAGAATTCCCGGAAAATGCTGGAGCCGTTGCTTAAGGGCAAATATGGAGATCGTTGTAAAGTTTTCCTCTACCATACGCCAAAATTACGTGGCATTATGAAAGCAGCAATCCCCGATCGTTTCAACGAGCTTATCGGTTTGCAACACATGAAGTTGTATATAATCGATGATGATTTAATTATTACTGGGTAAGTAATAGTTATTGCTGATGGTTACGACACTTAATTGAGAAAGCAAAATTAAAATTTGAATCAAAATTTATCATTAATATCTGATATGAGAGAAAAAATAGAAAATTAGATATCCCATATTAAAAATATTTACTAAAATTATTGAATAGCTATGTTTGTATTGTTGAATATAGAAATATGTATATATAATACATATTTATATTTATAAAATTACTAAAAACTGATTTATATTAGGGCGAATCTCAGCAATGATTACTTCACAAATCGACAGGACCGATACTTCGTTATTGAAGATTGTAAAGATCTTTGCGATTTCTATGACAAATTGACTGAAAAAGTAATGGAATTTAGCTTTTTATTGCAATCAGATGGCAATACGAGTTTAAATTCTGCAAATTATCATCCTTATAAAGGATCAAGAAAGATTTTTACCCAGGAAGCAGCGTCTAGAATACAGATACTCTTACAGAATGAAATAGAAAAACGTGCTGACTTCAACAAAGGTATATATATTGTCAATCATTCTATAAGATATTTTAGAGACATTTAAGCAAAACATTTAAGAATTTATCATTAATTATGTAAAAAAATTTATTTCGTATAATTATAAATTAAATAATACTTAATCTTTAAATTTTGTAGATGCAGATACATGGATATTTCCACTGGTGCAAATGGGACAACTGAATATCTATCACGACAGCGAAATAACGTTGAAGTTATTGCAAACCGCTCCAGCAGGAGCTACGCTCAAACTGGCAACCGGCTATTTCAATCTGACTTTCGAGTATAGTCAAGCTGTACTTAGAGATTGTCGAGCAACATGTGACCTTTTAACAGCACATCCCAGTGCCAATGGCTTCTTTAGTACATACATTTATTACATATTAAATAAAAATATTTTCGAAGATTTAAACATTTAAATCTTTATTGCGTAAAATAGGATTTATGTAATATTGTTTAATTAATTTTTTTGTATGATTATTTCTCTACGTTTTACTGATAAAAATACAAGAATTGTTTTTCTTATGTATTTTCAAGATGCCAAGGGAATTGCCGGAGGGATACCAGCGGCATACACGAGACTAGAGGAATCTTTTTATAATTTATGCGAAAAAATGAAGCAGCAAAGAAGAATAACATTATGGGAGTTTGTCAAACCAGGATGGACATATCATGCCAAAGGTCTATGGTACACTTTGCCAGGTCAGCAAAAACCCTCGTTGACTCTAATAGGTTCGCCAAATTTCGGTAAGTTTTTATCATTTTAGGATAACACATCGATGGCATCAATACAAATATCATAAAACTAATTTTTGAAGATTTCTAACATATTTGAATTGGAATATGAATTATTCAGGTTATAGATCAGTGAACAGAGACCTCGAAACGCAGATAGCCATAATGACAAAGAATGAAAAATTGCAAGATGCACTACATGAAGAGCAGGCACGACTGTTCTCCTGTGCTAAACCTGTTACGAGGAAGACCTTTTCGCAGCAAGACAGAATACCACCAGCTTGGGTATGCGCGATAGTACTTTTCTTTCGATACTATTTTTGATGCTGAAATGCCTTTGCAAAAAGGCAAATTTCTTTTAAACATTATTTATTTTAATTTTAATTTTGTAACATATTGTATAAGTACGAATTCCGTGTTAATATTTAATCGATTTACGAAGATATAAATCGTCCACATGAGTTTCTGTCCTTGTATATTCTTTTATCATTCTCTAAGATTTTTCTCATTTACATTTTTCTAAGAAAGAAATTTTTCTAAGAAAGAATTTTTTATGAAGAGATTTCGTTTATGGATTACAACATTTCTTCAAGTAGAACAATGAAATTGTTGAATGACAAATTATAAAAAGGATCGAATCTGATAGGATTTTGGGTCTTTGTATTTTAAATATTGGCTTTAGAAATTAATCTTCATTTCCTAAGTAATAAATTAGCGTTTTATTTTGTAAGTTTGCCGGCAAAGGAAGTTCTGAAATTGATGACACAATTATTTTCTCGCGAACTATCCTGTAGGGGATGTGATAAAATTTAATATTATTACAATGTCGGCGCTTCTTGTGCAACACCGGATACACGAAAAGTGTTCTAATTTGAATGAAGAAGTAACAGTAAAAGTAGCAATAGCAGTAATACATGATTGATTGTCTGTTACCACTTATTCACGGATTAAGATAAATTGCAACGATATTCAATCGTTGCACCAATAAATATCGCAACACTTTGCGAGATGGGAGTAAACCGCTATTTTCACACTTAGAGATTTCCAAGACCGGCAATCGGCGCGGCAATTAACAACTGTCTGAGGAAGAGAGTTTATTTGTCGTCGAGTACGAATGTTTCCTCTTTGACAAAAAATTCGACGACTTCTTCCTCCACATTCTTCGAATCCGAATCCAATTCATCAGTATCAATATCTAAAATTACACGTACATGACGATTAATCTTTTAAATTACATCACTTTACTTATTTTCAGTATTAATATGCAGTATTAATATGCAGTAATTTTTTAATTTAGCTTCATAAAAGAATATATTTTGAAAGAATATATATTTAATATGTACACTTCTATCATTCTAGATGATTTAATATATGTGAACTTACTGCAACGTAATTCGAGACGACGCTTTTTCTGATTGTTCCATTCGTCGATCCGTTTCGTACGGTACTCTTCGAATGCCTTCATCAATAAACAGCGTTTCTCGATCAATTCCTAGAAAATTAATTGCTAAAATTAACTGCTTCCCACAGGCCTACATTCATACGCGAATTATTTTAAAAAGTTTCATTACATACATATTCTCATGTATATTATTTTTGTACCATTTGACAATTGCGTATTTAAAAACTAAACTTGATTAGAATGAGAGATTAGATTTGAGAAATGATTTCGTATGTATCGAGCGTTAAATATTTAATACTTTTAAATATACCTTTGAGGCACGCGTCAATCGCATGCGATCTTTGCTCTCGAACTGCGCCGAGTACTTCTTCAAATTCTTCTTGATTTCTTTGATCTGCTCCGCAGTGAGTAGAGTCGGTGGTCGTGGTCGCCACAACAGCTGGTTGAATGCGTTCAGATTGACTCTCTTCAAAATACGGCCCTGGAATGTCCATATCCAGTAACCGTTGTCAACGCTGGTCTTCCAGCTGGATACTGCCGTGACGACATATCTAAAATCAAGTACAAAAAAAAAGTTAACTTTTTGCCATCACTCCCAAGCTTAGTTTCTCATATGAGACAATTCCATTTTTCATTTACCTGCCAGTAGGGTCCCATTCCACGTCAGAAGTCTGATAGTGATCAGTAGAGTTCATAATAGTGAAATCGTTCGTATCGATGAACTCCAGAGCACCAGCCATCGTCGTCAGACCAGCAAGGACGATGAACTGACCCGATGGCGACCAGAATAAGTGATTGCACGCTTTCTTCTCTAATCTCTCTGTTAGGAAAAAAATAATTCGTTAACGTTAAACTCAAATCAATAAAGCAAAATTTCAAAAATTATGAATAAAAAGAAAAAAATTAAAGAAAAAATCTATTATTATAAATAGTTGCTTACTAAGAAGAGCAGGTTGATGACCGTATCGTACTTCGTAAAAGCTGACATTCACGCTGGGTATTTCCCCGTGAATAATGGCGAACTTGCTACCAACCGGCTCCCATGCAAAAGCGTGAATCGGCTCTTTTATCTCCACACTATCTACGGGAATTTGTTTCTCCCGCATGTGGAAGATCTCGAAATTGTATGACATACCCTGCGAGATGTAAATAATTTTTAATAGCAATTATATTTTAATAATAAGACTCATTAGAAGCTATTTTCTTTTGCCAAGAAAAACTACAGATGTATGTACTTATATAATTGTATATAATTATGTATAATAAATTATAACAATTACTCACTGTGTATTTTTGTTCTGTCTTCTCTTTACGTTTAGCAAAACGATCGACTTTCACACACAGGTAATCACCAGATTTTTGCCAGAAAATTTTGCAATCGGCCACATTGAACAGATTCTTATTTCGTATTTCATTGCGACTAAAAATCACATTTTTTTCAGTAAAAAATACTATTTTATTCATACTAACTCTGATATAAGGCTGTAGACTTACTTAGGAATTTCGAGCAGAGTTACTCTCGCGGGCACGTCTTTGTCCTCCGGTACCCAATAAGCAAGAACATTATCCGTCGGAGACCAACTGAAATCTCTGATTCCTGGAATTTTGATACTCTTCTTGTCCAGCAGACCAAATGACTAAAAAATGAAATGCAATAGTATTGGCTATTGAATTGCAAATTAAAGAATGAACATGGTTACAACAAATACTCACTGGAGTTTCATAAACACTAAGAACATCTTCTCCCATGCGCGCTAAATATTTATCGTCGTGCGACCAGCGGAAGATCGGCCAAACAGAAGATCCATCGGGAAAGAAGGATCGTTTTTCCTGGCCAGACAGAATATCCCAAATCACCAAGCGTTTCTGATCCTGTCCCAGATCAGTGCGCGGAGTGTAGGTGACTAGATAACGTTCTCCAGGCGAAAAATCGATACATTCAACACCTCGCTGGCTGAATCTAGCTTGTTGAGTAAATTGAGGACCGCCCCACAACGCAACTCCCAATTTGTGAAATGTGGCTAAATACGTGCCTAGCTGCGACCATTTCACGTATGTTTCTGTCCAACGCTGAAATTAAAAAAAGATGATTGCTGCAACTTCTTGGTGAACAATTTAATCTTAAAGTCATCAATATTTACAATTGCTACTGATAGAATTATATACATAATAAATTCTTTTTTATACAAGTTTTGTCTTTTCCAAAAATAAAACTACTTACATTACGTTCTTCGAGCAGAGTGGGCTCCGGTGCAGAGTTCTGCCAAATCTGCACCGATACACCCGCCCCATTACCACAAAGAACACAAAACTGATCATAAGCATCCGGTTCCAGCAGATGATAATGCAAATCACTAGCAGCCTTAAAAGGTTGAGCTTTTGGCGGTTCCCAATTCTCAGGAATATCTTCGAACTTTTTGAAATCCGTGAAAAGATTAACCTTGAATGTATGAGACTTATCGATCTTGTAATTGTTAGTAGACTTAACTGCCGTAAGTGCATTCAAATGATTGTTGTATTCCAGAAAAATGTATCTATCAAAGAAAAAAAGAAGATATTCATTTTAATATTTTAGAAATATTAAAAATATATTCTATAAAAATTTTAGAAAAATTATGTTTTTAATAATTTCCAGATTTAAGCAAAAAATATAGATACTAAGACTAACCCTTTTGTTTTTCCATCGCTTTCATTCATCGGATAATACTGGTTGACTATCGTGCCAAATTTTCCCAACACTTTATTAATAACGGATTGAAGTTTCTCCAATTTGTCAGGTTCTACTCGAGGTACATTGTCCACAACAATTACAGACTCCACCCCGTCTGTTTCTGAAGGTTTTTGCTTCAAAATATCACCAAGCAATTCTGTAAATTTATAATAAAAATTCGTTGTTGCAAAAATCATTCTCCTAATAATGCGAGAGAATAGAAAAATTCTTATAAATATCTTCGAACACTTATTACCTAGACATCGATAATATATTTATAAAAAATAATTTTACCCAATCAACTAATATAATATTAATAGTATACTGTAAATCACAGATACAAGTAATAGTGATACATATAATTAAAAATGTTGTCTTTATCTATTCTATTCTATTTATCAATTTTAAAAAAAATAAAAAAAAGTTTGGTCAGACGATAGGGAGTACACTATAATTTATAAAACTATAATTCATCTTTTCTGTTTCAATTAAAATGGTGAAATTATGTGTAACCATTTCCTGGCATATGCTAGTAAAAAATATATTTCATATAGATTGCTAAATCTTCATAAAAGATTAATATTTTTTAAAATAAAATTTACAATACAAATAGTTAAAAAGATATATATTAATAAAATATCAAATTGGAAATAAATCGCATTCATATTTAAGTCGTATCAAATTATGGACTGATATTCAATTAGAACATTTGACTAATTCAAATAAAGTTCACCAAATATGATATAGATTTAAAATATGTGGTCTGTTTTTTGTTTGAGATAAAAAGTTTTAATATAATTCGATGCAGGAACAAAAAACAAACTTATTATAATATCTTATTCCCTTATTTTCGAACATTATAAGTTCTCTGAGAATTTAATAATCGATTAATGCAAGTGATCAAATTGTTTCAAGCAAGATATACTTTATTATTTCTAATCTTTTTTTCCATACGTTAAACAGAAAATTATATTCACATTAACAAAATATTACTTAATAAATTAGTTAATAACTTAAATTCATAATAAAATTCATAAATTACATTAATTGGAGTCTTTCGATATCATATTGAATTGTGCGACAGTTGTTACTTGAATACAATTTTCATTTAACATCTTTTTTAATTAAAATTGTTATCAAGCAGGCATTGTTATGACAGCATGTTGACATCAAGAGTCCCACTTAACATTCGCAACGCTCTCAGAATCATTTTATCTTTCTCATTTACCAAATATTAAACAAGAACGGTGATCGCAGCTGTTGCGAGTATTGGAGCAAGTGGAATGCAGAATTTGTATAAATCATAACTCTTTCTCACCCTCTCACAATATCAATAACATGCAAAGTGATTTTCTATCGTGCCGGATTACATGCGATCTCGTGTAACAGACCCAGACGCAAATGACTCGAAAAATAAAAAAAAAATAGTAGAAAAATGGCCGTAAAATAGAACAATTTATAGGTTAGTTCGCATCAGTGATCGGATATTGTGTGACATTTTGCGATGTCAATCTTGCGGCTACAAAACTAGAAATATCGGAAATTCTAAAAGTGTCAAATTCGTGACGTCGGCAAGCAAGAGGATGGGTAATTTTTTAGGATAAAATTTCACGTGCCACATTGTGGAGTACGCGCGCGTGTGCACGTGCACACATACACGCAGGTCATTTGCCATGCTTGCGGCGAGAAACGAATTGAAAAATATAAAGCGTAATCTACCACGAAATCACAAATCCACTCGTCATAATTATCACTTAATTACGTTTTAAAAATCATAATCGTGGCTGTTTTATTTCCGGTTACTGAATAATCATAGTAATCATAGTAATCGTAGTCGAGTTCAAATCGGTCCTGTTCCAGCGATTACGATTATGACCACTTTTACAATTCTTAAAACGCAAAACTGAGCAAAATTGAGATAAGTCTGTAATATTATTGTAGACGACGCTTAAACGTGCCACATGGGACAAGGCGGGGATAGGATTATGGAGATAGAGGAAAAAAAAGAAGCGAGCCGGATACTTGCCCTCGTCGGTGATATCGTCGACGAAGCCTTCGGGATCGCTGAAGTTAGGCTCCTCATCGTCGTTCATCGGATCGTCGTTGCCCTTAGCGGTCTCGTCGTTTTGTGCCGTTTTCTCTGCCTGCGTTTTCTTCGCCATCTTGGAAACCTCTGAGCATATTCTTTCGCTCGCGTCCGTGCCGCGCCGCACTGCAGCGAGAAAGAAAATGGCAGAGCATTTCATGGCTTGGAATGCTATATATATTGCTATATATATTGGGAGCATGCGCAGCGCGCATCGCGCGCGATTGGTTTTCCAATATGATTTCGTTAGTTAATAACCAATTAAGTTTTAAGGTTGGTTTTACAATACATTGCATGTCAGTGTCGCAACCTGCAAGCCACAAGAATTGACCAATCAGGTCTGTTCTACAATGCGTCGTGTGTCGGTGTCGTGGGTTGTAAGGCCGTAAGAATGGGCCAATCACAATCAAGTATTCTCTCCATATTCGTCAATGATTGGTCAAATCTTGTTGCTTGCGGCTTGATATTGTAGAACAAGCCTACAGATGGACAAATGGAATGGGCTAACCACAATCGATTATTCTTCTATAAATCGATGATTGGCCTATTTCTTACATCTTAAAATCTCATTGTAGACACCGCTTAAGGCTCATATTCTAAATCTTCGTTTGGATGCAATCCACTTACTGTTATAAAACAAATACAAAGCATTTGATTAACTAATCGGAACAAAAATTATATAAATTGACCAATCAAAAAATACTTTGAAGCATTTGTAGCATCAAGTGGATCGCGCCTAAAGCCAGCGGCACACGATGCTTTTTTTCCTGCTGGTTTGCTAGCTAAATTTATGTGCTTGCTGAGCTCTTGTCTTTAATTGGTATATTTTTTTAGATCTAAAAGAATATACCAATCAAAGATAAAAGCTCAGCCAGCACGCAAATCCAGCTAGCGAACTAGCAAGAAAAAAAGCATCGTGTGCCGTTGGTTTTATAGCCGATTATTTTTGGAGGAGTAATAGTAATTCTCCATAAGAAGAATAGTCATCTCCGATTGTTAATTTTCTTACAATTTTACAATTACGATTGAAATTTTTGGCCTTAACCAACCTACTTCATTCACCGTAGAATTCCCCTTCCATCCTCAATCGTGATAATTCCACTGGTTCTGCTGTTTACTGCAGCCAGCGCTGTCTAGCGATGATATCTTCAGTTTTCTTTTACAATTGTTGGGATTGGGTTCGCAGCTGTCTCTCGACTGAATTGTGATCAGATCCGTTGAAATTCGTCTCGTTATATTAATCAGAATTTTAATCGATGGAGAACGACGATCTCCGTTAAATTCCCTGGCCTTTTCTTGACAAAGGAGGTCTTCCTGATTGTAAACTTCATACGCGAATCGACGTCGCAATCGCCGTGGTGCGATCAAAAGAAAATGGCCGCCGCCGCGGCAGCCGCACTGCTCGACGAGCTCATGGGCAGAAACAGAAACGTCCTGCCTAATGAGAAACCCAAAGAGCTTAATTGGGAGGATCCTGAGGTAATATCTATGTTGATACTCAGAATTTTTTGAAAGACAATTTCTTTTGGCCGCTTGCAAAATTTTGATTCTTGTTTTCGAAATTTTTTTCTTTCTGACCCTCGTTAACCCTTTCTCTCTTGACAAAGGCATCTTTTTAATTTAATATTTTTGCAAAAAGTCAAGATTTCATGTGCGGCGAGAACTTAAAACAATTAAACACATTACAGAGAACAAAGTCATCAAAATTTTTTCGATTAATTGACTTGCTCTTTTAATTCTTTTTACTGTCTCTTTCGAATCATCTAAGTTTGATCTTATATTGGATAGAATTCATTTCATCTTGTATGTGAGAAAATACAATCAAAACAAGATTTATATTAGAGGATCTCTAATTGTTAGAATTTTTCAGCCATCAAATATTTACAAGCAAGATCTCAAACTAGAGCTAAATTATGCTTAATTTATGTACTTTGATTTTATCAAGAAGCTGTATTGGTAAAATATATATGAATAGTAAAGAAATAATAATTCTAATCAAGAATTTACCATTTTTTAATGTTTATATCGTTCATAAATCTGCCGTAAATAATAAATTGTAAATCTCAAATCACAAACAACATGAATTGCACAGTACTAACTTTATAAATATGTTTATTTTTAGAGTTAAACTATGCAATTATTGAGAAGATTAATGAGGTATAAGATAAGATGAAGTTTATTAAACTTGTTCAATCTTATATAATCTTTTTTTTAAATTTATTTTTCTCTAAGCTCTAATATTTTTTATGAAAAATTTTGTTAAAAATTAGATAAGAGAATTTTAAGTAAAATATCAACATGAACAAATATAAACATTGAAAATAAATATATTGCATTCAAATATATTAAATTTATGGGATATCATGTGTTTTAGTTTTGCAAATTATATCTGGTGAAATTCTGTCCTCATGACCTATTCGTTAATACAAGAGCGGACTTGGGTGCATGTCCTAAGGTACACGATGATGAGGCTAGGGAACTATTTGAAAAGGCGCCACATTCTTATCGTAAACAGCAATATGAAGATGAGTTTATCAGGTATTGTCAAAGTATGTTAAATGAAGTGGAGAGAAAAATCATAAAGGGAAAACAACGGTTGGCACTAATTGGGAGAACAGAAGCGGTAAGTTTCATTAGAAGATTAGAAGATCATAAGTGCATAATTGTAACTTCATGATACTTATGTGTAGCCGACGTTGACTCCAGCCCAGACTCAAAGAAATGAGGAGCAGATTGCTCTATTGACGGAGAAGATAAATAAGTTGGTAGAAGAGGCTGAACAAAGTGGAATTCAAGGCAATGTAGAGCAAGCACAGGGCCTAATGCGTCTTTGTGACCAGTTAAAAGAAGAACGCGAGACTTTGAGGAAGTCCAATGATAATAGTCATTACAACCAAGTGAGTGTGAATTATTTTATTATTTTACATAAATTGAAATTATAATTTATAACTCTTTAACTTTACGTAAATGATTATGAATTTATGATTTATGACAGTTTGAATTTTTATACTAATTTTACCATATTTTATAGACTGCTGAATTAGCAGCTGCGCAAGAGAAACAAATGGAGGTGTGCGATGTGTGCGGCGCGTTTCTTATCGTAGGAGATGCTCAGCAGCGAATTGATGATCATCTGATGGGAAAACAGCATGTGGGCTATGCGAGACTGAAAAGCGCTCTTCAAGAAATTATGGTGAGAACGAATTGCGACATGAAATATATCTTAGAAATTTAAAAATTAATTAAAATCTTATTCTATAGAGCAAGCGCGAAAAGGCGCGCGATGAGAAAGAACAGAGGAGAGAGGAAGAACGAAAGCAAAGAGCGCGAGCAAATGAAGAGCTCGATAGGCGGCGGAGAGATGGCGACAGGGATAGAGATCGCGATAGAGACAGAGATAAACGTCGTAGGCGAATAGATGATGATAAAAGCCGTTATGATTCGAGCGGTTATAGGTAAAAATATCTCCTTGTATCGTAATATAAATATGATAAAATATTTCCTTTGAAAAATCAGTTTTTGGGTGTCAAAATATCAGGATAGATATCAATTAGTGTTTTTACATTTATAGAAAAATGGTTTTCTGCAATTTTATATTTTTGAAGAATATTTGTTATTCCATTTTTTTTTTTTTATATGTAACGTGACATCTGTATATTCTCTGAAAAAATGTAATATTATCTGAAAACCGGATAAGGCAATTTAATGAAATGCTTGTTGCAGAAATTCTGGGCATAGAAGTAGAAGTAGATCGCGAGACAAACACCACCGGGACGAAGATAGTCACCGACGTCACGGTCGAGATAAAGGTAAGCGATAACATTGGTTCTTTGCATGCATTGGCATTGCTATCGTAATTGCGTTAATGATAATATTTTTTTAGGAAATCGCGATCATCGAAGCTCCAGCCATCATACCCGTCGCCGTCATCGCTCGCGAAGTCGAAGTCACAAGTAACTTCTCTTGATTGGTTAGTGAGTGAGAAGTAATCCAGGTATGCACCAAACAATATAACCATATTCGTCTCAATTACTGTACAGGTACTCTTTCGATCCAGGTGAGTTGCCATTCCGATGCACATAATACATATACATGATAATATAATCTGTGATGTTTGAAGCGCCGCGTAAGTCACACAGCAAGTTCGTCTCACTCTCTCTGAAACACACTCTGTCTCTCTCCGCCTCTCTCTGTTTAATCTTCTGCCAGAATAATCATAGACAAATTCCATGCCTCGTTATGAAAGTCAATTATAGTCTTCTTTTAATATCAAAGTTTGATTAGTAGTGTAATAAGATATATAGAGTTGAGAGAGCAATATTAGCCTCGGCAAGCCAATAAATCTATTCACTTATATAATGTGCAAAATATTATCTGCAAGAAAATAAGATTTTAGTGCATCAGTAATCTAAAGATAAGAAAAAGAAAAATCGAAAAAATTAAATT